TCCCGGGCCCCTCACTTCCTCTCCATCAGGTGCTGGAGACATGCATGAAGAGCTGCGGCAAGAGGTTCCACGACGAGGTGGGCAAGTTCCGCTTCCTGAACGAGCTCATCAAGGTTGTGTCTCCCAAGGTGCGTGCCCCTGGTTCTGGGTAGAGCGGTGGGAATGTTGGGGGGGGGGGGAATCCTGGGATGAGAAGGGCCCTTCCTGTGACCAGAGCTCGATGCCAGGTGCTACTGAGCTCTGCAATTGCCAGGAAGGTGGCTTGCCCAGCTCTAAGATCCCTTGATACTTACCTGGCCACAGCGCTCCACCTGGTCTCTGGCAGAAGGCCTCTCAGTCCCCACCACCCTGGAATGGCCTCCTTGGGGCATGGCATCCACAGCCACAGACTCGAGCTGGCAAGTGGGCCAGATTGGCCTTTGGTGTGCGGAGTTCTGTGGGAGAATGTGAACATGCTTGGAGGCCGTGAATGAGGGCTGTCCCTCAGTGCCCCTCGCTCCGCCCCATTCTGTGGCCAGAGCTGCTGAATGATCCTCCTGCCCAGGAGGAGGCGAGCCACCTCCCTAGCTGGTGTACTGCTGGCCGAGGGGTGTGGGGCCCTCAGTTCTGTACCTGCTCCTCCCTGGTCAGCTGGAAGCCTCTGGCTCCTTCTCAGCACAGGGTTGTCTGTGGGCCACCTCCGAGAAGGCGCTGTGGTATGGGCCTTCCCTGGTCAGCTCTTCATCTCCAGCACAGTGGGGAAACTGAGTCACAGGGGGCTGACCTGGGCAGTAAGCAACAGAGCTAGGAGGCGAGCTTAGCTTACCCCAAGCTGCTTGGGCAGAAATTGAGGACCCTGAGGCAGAGCTTCTCCAGGGGAGGCAGCCAGCTTGGTCTGGACTTGGGGCTGTCACAAGTAGGGCTGGGCAGTGTCACAGTGTCCCTCTCCTCTGCACTGAAGTACCTGGGCTCCCGGACATCAGAGAAGGTAAAGAACAAGATCTTAGAGCTGCTCTACAGCTGGACGGTCTGCCTGCCTGAGGAGGTGAAGATCGCAGAGGCCTACCAGATGCTGAAGAAGCAGGGTGAGGCAGCTGCAGGGTTCTAGGAGCTCCGGCCCGACAAGGTCATGGTCTGCCTTTAACTTCCAGAGAGCACAGGGCCTGTGGGACCTTTGGGTGGCTGTGCCAGAGGCCAGCCTGGGTATAGAAATGGTGGGTTTGGGTTAAGCTTCTCTTTTGAGGGTGGCCTCAAAATTTGAATACTCAAACTTTCTGCCCACACAATTCGATACACAGCTCAGAGGAAGCTCTGGCACTTCAGGCCCAGAGCCAGTGTGCTAGAGAAAGATCAACCCATTCCCAGCTCCCCACTGCCTCTGGCCTGGGACCTACTAACTGCCTTCTTTTTTTTTTTTTCCAAAGTTTTATTGATAAACAGCAATGAGACAGTTTCAAATCAAATTGGAAGTACAGTTTCAACAAATATTACACTGCATATATTCTCTAACTGCCTTCTTGACCCTGTCTACGCCAGGCATTGTGAAATCTGATCCCAGGCTTCCAGAAGATGCTGTCTTTCCCCAGCCCCCTCCTCGGCCCAAGAATGTGATTTTTGAAGATGAAGAGAAGTCCAAGGTGAGGCTGCGGAAAGAGCTGGGCACTTGGACCACTTGAAGCAGAGACTCCTATTGAGCTTGGTCCCTGTAGAAGGTGACAGGCAGCACTGATAAAGCTCTTCCTGGTGCCAAGAACGTCTAATACCTCGTGCCTGCATGTAACACAGAAGACGTCCCTGAGTTAGCTTGAGGTGTTCGCACGTCTTTTCTCTTTTTGAGACAAGATCTCACTGGGTTGTTCAGGCTGCCCTTGAGTTCCCTGTGTAGCCCAGGCTGGCCTCAAACTCCTGGCAGCCCTCCTGCCTCAGCCTCCTGAGTGCTGGGGTGACAGGCATGCACCATGCCTGCTGAGTTTGCATGTCTTTATGTAATAATGGATTAGACAATAAGGACTGAACAAAGAGGCAGAAGCAAACTCATCTTCCCAGCTCTGCTGGCCCCAGAGGGTGACCACATGCCCATGCCCTGGAAGACTTCTCAGAAAGCCACAGTGACACAGGAGGCTGCCATGGAGGACTCCCCTCCACCAGGCTCTCGGAGGAGGACTTAGCTCACAGTGCCTCTCCTGTCCTGTAGGATAGCTGCCGGGTGTTGGTAAATTCCTGCCCCTTCCCAGAGAGCTTTAGCAGCTTGCCCATATCCCACGGAATTGGGGCGCTGGCCTATGTCCCCCAGTCTGGCACTGCCCTCACAGAGGCACACCTGTCCCTGCAGATGCTGGCACGCCTGCTGAAGAGCTCTCACCCCGAGGACCTCCGAGCAGCCAACAAGCTCATCAAGGAGATGGTACAGGAGGTAAGGAGGGGCCCAGAGCACAGGGGGAGGCGAGCAAGGCATGGCACTGGGGCTGGTGTATGCACAGGCCAGGGGTCCTGCAGGGCCGTGGCCATCTGAGCTGACAGCCCACACAGACACCTGTGAGGCCGAGGCTGCTGCTCCCGGCCGTTAGACTTGACTGCAGGTGGGCATGGCTCCGTGGTAGAGGGCCTGCATGCAGCGCGGAAGCCTGGGTTCCACCCCCAGCTGCAAAAGAAAAATGAATTGCCCCCTAGTGGATGTTTTAAAGTATGTAGGTCAGTGTGTATGTGTGTATAAATATACATAGTCATGCGTGTGTCATGTATGAGTAAGTATAGGCTTGGAGTGGGGGGTACAGAAACTGAATTCAGGATCTTGTGCTTATCAGGCAGGTGCTGTGCCGTTGAGTACATCTCCAGCCTCAAGTAAATGCAGGTTGAAGGGGTACACTGAATCTTTGGGAGGACAGTGCTGAGAGCTGAACCCAGGGCCCTCACACTGAGCAACATCCCCAACCCTTTTTAACTTTATATATGAGAGAGAGACAGAGACAGAGACAGAGACAGAGACAGAGACAGAGACAGAGACAGGGTTTCACTGAGTTGCTAAGTTCTCCAGGCTTGAACTTGAACTTTCTGTCTTCCTGCCTCAGTCTCCTGGAGTCCTGGAGTTACAGACATGTGCCACAGCTCCCAGCTCTGATTTTTTTTTTTCAGAACTGGGGTTTGAACTCAGGCCCTTGCACTTGCCAGGGAAGTGCTTATACTACTGAGCCATCTCCTTGGCCCTAGGGTTTATATATATATATATATATATTCATTAGGTAAAGTCACAAAAGTTTGCAAGGCAGGTATGGTGTAACGCATAATCCTAGCACCCAGGAGGTAGAGGCAGGGGGATCACTGAGAGTTTGAGACCAACCTGGGCTATATAGTTGAAGGCCAGTCTGGATTGCATAGTGAGACCCTATCTCAAATAATAGATGATTAGTAGATAGCTAGATAGATGACAGATGATTGATAGATCAATAGATAGATAGGGCTGGGCTATAGCTTATGGGTAGAGCACCCCTGGCTTCAGTCCCCAGTACTTAAAAAGGTTTTCAGGACCGTTAGTAGCACGTTTGGGAGCAGCAGTGATGCTCAGTATAAAAGGTTGAGGGCTGCCAAGCAGCCGCCTGGGGCAGGAGGGGGCGAGGGCCGTCCAGCTGTAGCCCCGTGTGGCTGGATCATCAGATGTTTCTCTTGGAAGGAACCTGGGCTTTTGCATAAGTGTGGGCCTTGCTGCAGCTGCAGCTCGTCCTTCCAGAAGGCAAGTTAGTCTCAGTCTGGTGGGCCGGGCATCAGCTAGGGTCCTGGACCAGCTGTTGGATGCACCTTTGAGTGTCCTGCCCAGGCTGTGCAGAGGATGTGTCCAGGGGACAGAGGGCTCAAGTTCAGGGCTGTCCTGAAGGTCCGCGCTGTGTGCCAAGATGGCTGAGAGTCAGGGCCCTGCCAAGCAGGGAGACTGCCCGCCACACAGCACCTGCCTCCTTGCCCCTCTGTGAGGAAGGAACATGCCCAGCAAGACTGGGTGAAGGGTGGGGTCACATCCTGTGGCCACTTTTAAAGGCCCACATTCACTGGGTACCCACAGACACTGGAGGGATACTGCTTGCTTCTAGGTAGTGCTTGCTGACTGTAGCGGTTCCCTTTTACTGCCAAGCATGGGAACGTCCCCTCAAGGATCAGACACAGGAGAGCAGGGGTCACTTTGAGCACCAAGTGTGGATCTAGGGTGGGCTGGGGATGTTGCTCAGTGGCACAAGCTCCTGCTTGACAAATGCAAGGTCCTAAGTTTGATTCCTGGTACAAAAAAAAAAAAAAAGGCAGAGTGGATTTAGGGCTCTGGCTCCCAGAGCTGTGGCTGTAGTGTAGCTCCCAGGCTTAACTGGAGATTGCTGTGAGCTCCTACGAAGGCTGGGCCCAGGGGATCTGGCAGTGTGGGTGGAAGTGACTGCACTGGTGGCAGAGGGCTTCCAGGACCCGTGTGCCCTGTCCTAGGTGAAGTAAGCCCCACTACACCCTGTGTACCCTGTTCGGGTTTGGGCAGTGCCTGACATAGCTCTCACTGTGCGCTGCCTTCACAGGACCAGAAGCGCATGGAGAAGATCTCAAAGCGGGTGAACGCCATCGAGGAGGTGAACAATAACGTGAAGCTGCTGACAGAGATGGTGATGAGCCACAGCCAGGGCAGCGCAGCAGCTGGCAGCAGCGAGGACCTCATGAAGGTACACTGTGCCCTCTCCACTTGGCCCACGCCAGAGCCCCCTGGCCCTGACACTCCCACCCTGCTGCCCTCAGGAACTGTATCAGCGCTGTGAGCGGATGAGGCCCACACTATTCAGACTGGCCAGCGACACGGAAGACAATGATGAGGCCTTAGGTGAGCCCCGCCCTAGAGCTGGAGTCCAGTGCTGTCTCTCTAGCTCCACCTCCCCAGGCCCTGTTGGGCATCTGCAGTTGCAGGAAGCCTCCATGAGGGGGCCCCCTTTCCCAGCACTGGTGAGTTTCTCCATTAGAAGGGAGCAGAGTAGAGGCTGCCTGCTCTGAGAGGCCTCTGGGACAAGCTCATTAGCAGGCGTCTCACTCACTGCCCCACAGCTGCAGAGGAGGACTGTCCCATGTCACAGCTGGTGCTCAGAGATGGAAATGACCAGAGTGTTAGGAAAGCGGGGGTGGGGCATAGGGGGAGAGTATAACCAAGGATTGTGCCTCCCACTGTCCTCCCACCCCCCAAGATTGAGCTGAAAGCCCAGCACTCTGGGAGGCTGAGGCAGGAGGATCACAAGTTGAAGCCCAACGGGGCAACTTAGAAAAATGCTGTCTCAAAATAAAACATAGAAAGGGCTGGGTATGTAGTTCAGTGTGAAGGCCTTGGGTTCAGACATTAGTACCACCAAAAAAAAAAAAAAAAAAAAGCAAAGATCCAGATGGATCCTGCTGCCCGAGCACTTCCAAAGCTGAGCCTGGAAGTGTGCATGGAGGCAGCTTCTGCACAGGTCCTTTTCCTTGTCGCTGCCTGCTGTCAGCTAGAGCCCCCAGGCATTTCTTGCTCACCTGCAACAGTGCATAGAGCCCCTCCTGTGGCCAGAACACTGGGTCTCCCACCCAAAGACCTCACTGCCCTGGCACCCAAGAAGGCACCTAGTTGGTGCCCGGTGCTGTTCTGGGCCTGCGGGCATGGGACTGTGATCCCAGGTGAGCAGAGCTCCTGGGGGGATTGCAGCCCAGGAGAAGAGATGGGCGATGAGCCACAACTCGAACAGCGGCAGTTTTTCAGACAGGGGTGAGTGGCTTGGAGAGAAATGAGTGGGGAGAAATGACAGGCAGGGCTGGATGAGGTCAGGGAAGACCTGAAGCAGATGGAGAAGCCACAGGGGTAGCTTTGGGTGATGACGAGAGCAGTAAGAGATGAAGGAGTACAGAAATTAGGGATGTCCAACAGCAGGGACCACACAGAGCTGTGGGAGGGACAGCACGCCCGGGATATTCCAGGACAGCCAGGCAGTGTGGCAGGTGAGCCGGAGGTAACAAAGGACCCGGGTCTTGGAACTAGATGGGGAGCTTCAGCCTTTCCCCTCCCACAAGCTGCACTGGAGGGGGTTCTCGCCTCCCCACCCAGACGCCCCATTGTCTGCTTTGCCCTCCTGCCTCTACAGCAGAGATCCTGCAGGCCAATGACAACCTCACCCAGGTGATCAACCTCTACAAGCAGCTGGTGCGGGGTGAGGAGGTCAATGGCGATGCCGCGGCCAGCTCCATCCCTGGTGAGGAGGGGGCAGGCAAGCTGAGGGGGTGGGTGGGCACTTTGGGGTGGCATGCTGGCCCCAGAGCTGGTGATGTGACTGCCGGGAGCACCCTGGCCCCTTAAGATGGGGAAAGGCACAGGGAGGGAGCAGAGCTGAAGCCTGTGCCAGGCCTGCAGCTGCGGAGGAGGAGGCTGACCGCGCCGGGGAGTGGTGGGGACGAGCAGAGAAGGCAGGCTTTTCTTCTCTGAATCTTCACTGAATCTGGCACCTGTGCCCAGGTTGGACGACACCCCTTAAGCTTGATTTGGTGATCAGAGGGAAGGTGGGAGGATGGAATATAAAACATCACCATCTCAGCTCCAAGCTGCCCCAGGGTCGGCCCAGAGATCAGAGAAGACGCTAGAAGTGGCCCTGCTGGGAAGAGAGGTAGGGTGTGCATGGAGGCAGCAAAGCGCATGAAGGGTTCAGGGACACCAGGGAATATAGTCATGTCCTGCACAACAACACAGAGGTTGGAGGGCAGCCACAGAGCCACCAGAGGTGGTCCCAAGACATCATAGCCAGTGATAGCACCCCGCCTGGGTATTCAAGCTAGGGACATGTTTTATAGAACCTGGCTCTGTCATTAGTGGGGCATGACTGTGTTCTGAGTAGACACACCCCTGTGCTATAGAAGGGGCCCTGTGGGCAGGCTTCAGTGCTGGGCTGGTGTGGACATGACAAGGAGGCTGGAGGCTACTGGGGGGGGGGCAGAAGGATGGGTGTCATTACCACGAAACCTGGAGCACCCCACGAGCTGCCTGACACCAGGGCTTACCCACTGTCCTTCCCTGCCCAGGGAGCACCTCGGCCCTGCTGGACCTCTCAGGCCTGGACCTCCCTCCTGCTGGCACTAACTACCCAGCTGTGCCCACCCATCCTGGCAACCAAGCAAGTCCTGAGCGGTCCAGCGCGTCAGTTTCCCTGCTTGATGACGAGCTCATGTCTCTGGGTGAGGATGGGCTGGGTGGAGGAGGGGGAGGGCCCTGTGGGGCAGCTGCCCTCGCAGCCGGCTAAGCACTGGTGTTAGGCGCCACAGATGTGAAGCCAGCAGAGGTGTGGGTAGATACTGGGCCGCGTCCTGGCTGAGAGCCGAGGCTCAGGGAAGCCTGGAGCAGTGCACAGTTGTAGGGTGAGTGGCCAGGCAGACTGGCCCACTGACAAGCTGGCCACACCCAAGTTCTGGCCACAGGACAGCTAGGGACTTCCCTGTGGCCGTTTGGACCTGGAGTTGGGGCTGGCCAGGCAGAAGCCTAGCATCTCCCCGCCCAAGAGGATGAGGAGTGCCTCATTCCAGAAGCCCAGGAAGCTCTAGACCAGCAGAGGCCCGGGCCCAGCATACTCCAGGCCAGACTAGCGGTCCCACCCTGGAGCAGTCCAGCAGGCCCTCTAGTGGAGCTGGGTTGGGCAAGAGAGGTACAGGGGCTGCTTCAAGCCACCTGAGGTGGGCCTGTCATTCCGGCTTCGATCCCGTAGTGTGCTGAGACAGCAGTTGAAACTGGACGTGGTGGTGTGCGCCTGTAATCCCAGCTCTTGGGAGGCTGTAAACAGGCGGATCACTATGAGTCTGATCCAGTAGTGAGACTCTAAATACCATGTAGACCCTTCTCTAAAAAAATACCCAAAAAAAGCCACCTGAGGGACAGTGGTGCAGACTCAGTCACTGTGTTTTCTGAGTCTCCCTGAACCTGGAGCTGGGGTGCAGCTCAGTGGCAGGGTGCTTGCCTAGCATGCATGAGGTGGTAGGGGCCCTGAGCCCCACAGTCTGCCCAACACAATGCCCATCGTCATGCCCCACCTTACCCCAGACAGCCTTCCCCACACCTCAAGCACCAGAGTCGTCTATGTCCCCAGGAACAGTGAGGACAGCAGCAGTCGGGGCTGTGGGAGGAGGCTGTGAGGCTGCACCACCTGCTGAGCCACCCTGCTGCTCTGACCTCTTGTCCCCGGAAGAGGAGGGTGAGAGGGTAGAAGTGGTGCTGACCTGCAGCTGCCTTAACAGGCTGGCGTGGGAGCCTCCCCCGGTTCTTGGCCTCATTCAGTGCCAGGGTGACAAGGGAGAGAGACTGACTCCTTCTGGGAGGCAGAGCACATGCAGAACGAGGGGGCCACATGAGGCAAGGGCTCATCCTACATGGAGGACCAGAAGGGTAGTGGTGGACAGGGAATTGACAGCGATGTTGATGGAGCCATCCCTGGGGGAGAAGCAAGGTGCACTTGTACCTCTTGCCCCCAGCTGCTTCTGCAGTCCTGAGCCTCCTGCTTCCTTCTGGTTTCTTCTCAAAGGCCACAAGTATAGGAACCAAAAGAGCCAGACAGACTGCCATGGCCCTGAGGACCATAGAGAGCCTCGGCGACAAGGGATACTGTCCTGTGCTCCTGAGGGTGGCACTAGGCCTCCTGTCTGCTGTGAGGCACTGGTGAAGGAAGGGTCCAGGTCATGACACATGTACTCCAAGACATCTGCTGCCATTGTGGCTTCGTTTAAAGGTGAAGCCCAGGAGACTGTCAGCCCTGGGTCCCTCGCAGGAGTAGCAGAGCTGTGTCCTGACTTCAGCAATCGGGAGGTGCAGGAACCACAGCTGGATGAGGCTGCTGTCCAGCTGTGTGGCTGGGGCGGGTCCCATAGCCCCTCGCCTTCCCTTTCCTCATCTGCCTTTTACTCCCGTTCTGTGGTATGGAGGGCTGAGCTTCTCAGCTGCACGCCCAGCCCAGCCCACAGCTGCCTCCTGAGGTTGTTTGTGGCCTGAGGGAGACTTGCACGGAGCATGGCCAGCCCCTGGGCACATGTCAGCAGTCACCTCTGCCTGCCAGAGGACACCTCCCTTTGGCCTTCACTCATCAGCATTTTCTAGAAACTGGATAACTCGTCTTCAGCTAGGTCTAATTTGGGGTGAATTCAGCTAGGGGTGTTCAGGACAGTGGACAGGTGGTCAGCAGTCCAGTCCCAGGGCCTCGGTCCACACATTGTTACACCCAAGGGGACACAGGCTAAGATGGCAACATGCCCTCCCCATGGCGACCTTTGTGAGTGGGCTGTCAGGCGGCCACAGTGCTGACCTGCTTGCCTGGGCCCTAAGGCAAGGGACCCATTTCCCCTCCCGTCACGGCCTGTGGGACTGAGCAGAGAGTCCTGGCTGTGTCACTGAGCAAGGGGAAGAGGAAGTGAGTGTGGGCTGCGGGATGGGCCTTCAGGACTCAGATTTTTGCTCTCTGAGCTGAGCCTCTCAGAGAGGGGGACTGGGGCGGGACCCCAAGGCAACACACAGCCCCCTGCCTCAGTGCCCTTACTCCAGCCCTGTCTCTTGCCCTTCCCCCAGGCCTGAGTGACCCCACGCTCCCTTCAGGCCCCAGTTTGGATGGAGCTGGATGGAACAGTTTTCAGGTAGGAGGGAACCAGCCTAGCCCAGCCCTGTCCCCAAGTCAGGGACAACAAAGGGATGGAGGGAAGGGGAGGGATTGAGTCGCTCAACCCCAGGGAAAAGGAAGGCAGCCAGTTGTCTTCCCACCTGTGGTTGGCCCTGAAACCATAACCCAGCCTCAGGGTTGAGCTGGAGCTCCCATGTCACTTACACAAGGGAGGTCCCTGCCAGTGGCACTGTCCTCTTTTCTGAGTGTCTTCCCCATGGGTACCTGGTCTCTTTACCTTTTACCCCGTAGTCTTCAGATGGCGCTGAGCACCCAGCCCCTGCTCTGGCCCAGGCCCCCAGCATCGACAGCCGGCCCGCAGCACAGACGCCTCTGGCCACGAGCAGTGGCTTGGATGACCTAGACCTCCTGGGGAAGACCCTTCTGCAGCAGTCGTTGCCCCCCGAGGCCCAGCAAGTGCGGTGGTGAGTACCACCATGTGTGGCACAGGGACAGACTTATTGCTGGCTGGGTGCTGGTGTGCCTAGCACTGCCCTTGCCCTGGTAACGAAGGACCACAGCAGGCTCAGCATGGAGCTTATGTGCCCACTCACACCCTCGGGATGCCAGCGCCCTAGAGAAAGACCAGAGGGGTGGCAGCCCTGGGGAGGACTCGTGTACAGGGCAGTGGGCAGGAAAGACCGGGGCCAGAGAGACAGTGGTGGCAGGGCCAGCAAGCGCAGCATCTCCTGGGCCGTGATCTCTCAGCACACAAAGGATTCTTTCTTAATGCGCTGTCCCCCAATAAGGGAGAAGCAGCAGCCAGCCCCCCGGCTGACACTCCGTGACCTGCAGAACAAGAGCACGTCCAGTTCACCGAGTTCGGGTCCTGCCAGCCTCCTCCACGCTGGGTCCCCAGAGCCTCCGGGGCCTCTGCAGCAGCCCATGCCTACTGAGCTGTCCCTCGCCAACGTCACTGTGCCCCTCGAATCCATCAAACCCAGTGAGTGGGGTGTGACAGCCTCCTAGGCCCCTGCACCATCGAGCCCTTTCCTTCCCACCCTTACCCTTATCAGCTGTTCTGAAAGCTCCGGGTCACACAGGACTTCTTCAGACAGCCTGCTTCCCTGAGACTATGAAGTCAAACTGTGATGAAGACCCGGCTCCAGGCCCGGGGCATCTGCTGGCTTGGAGTAGCAGGGCCCATCACCTGGTACAGGCCTTGAACAGACAGGACTGCCCAGTCCTTGGTACCCTCCGTCTCTGTGACCTCACTGTGATTTGGTGTCACATCCTGGATTTCCCTGTCTTACCAGCAGGAGAACTCCAATCCCAGAATGGGCAGCGACTATGACAGGATCACATGTAAAAATGTGACCAAAGCTCTTAGGAGTCTTCCATCCCAGTGCAGGAGTGGGCGTGGGCTGTGGGGCAGCTGCAGGCTGGGTGTGACCTCCACCGTCAAACTCTGAGTAGCACCAGGAGTGCAGGCGAGGCTCTGGGGCAGGGAGCTGGCCCACTCACTGCCCTGCCACCTTTCCCCCTCAGGCAGCATCCTGCCCGTGACTGTGTATGACCAGCATGGCTTCCGAGTGCTCTTCCACTTCGCCCGGGACCCGCTGCCGGGGCGCTCAGATGTGCTGGTGGTGGTAGTTTCTATGCTGAGCACTGCTCCACAACCCATCCGCAACATCGTTTTCCAGTCTGCCGTCCCCAAGGTGACATCATGTGGCAGGGGGACTTGGGACTTGGGGGCTGGGGGCACTGGATGGGTTGGAGCAAGGTCTATTGCCGGGAAGCAGGGGATCTAGATGGTAGAGCTCTCAGGACCCTCAGGGGCACCACAAGCTGGACCAGGTCCTCAGCATCAGGGACAGCATCTAAGCCCAATGTGCCTTCCTGCCCTGCCACCCTCAGGTCATGAAGGTGAAGCTCCAGCCACCGTCAGGCACAGAGCTTCCCGCGTTCAACCCCATCGTCCACCCCTCAGCCATCACCCAGGTCCTGCTGCTTGCCAACCCACAGAAGGTGAGGGCTGGCTGCAACAGGGTGGTGTGGGGGTCCTCCTGCTCCCTTACTGACTTTGGCCTCACCTTCTGTGTCCCAGGAGAAGGTTCGCCTCCGCTACAAGCTCATCTTTACCATGGGCGACCAGACCTACAACGAGATGGGGGATGTGGACCAATTCCCCCCACCAGAAACCTGGGGGAGCCTCTAAAACAGAGGAGCTGGGGAGAGGAGGGGATGGAGGGCCAGTTGCTTTCCAGCCTGGGCAGGGGCTGTGGTGGCCTAGGACACTCTGCTCCCCATGGCCACCTTCCCCTGGCCTGGTGCTTCTCCCCTCACTGCTGGGGTAGCCAAGTGACCCCTCTCTCCCACGCTCTGCTGCGCCCACTGAGCCAAACCCGGCAGGAGGCTGGGCCTGGGTTTGCACTGCTGGGAGCCTAAAGCAGGGGAGCTGTGGGGCTGGGAAGGACTTGGGGTCAAGGGGAGGACGCACAGCCATTGGGTGCAGCCCTGCCCCTGGCCTGGGGTGGGTCTTCCCCACCTGTCTTATGCCTTACGGGAAGGCCCAGCCATAAGCCATGCTGGAGCTGGGGACCAGCCGGCCTCCTTGTTTGGAACCCAGTACTATGGAGGCGACACCTGTGCCCCCAGCTCTTTGCACTCTTGGTATATGGTTTGGCTCTCTTCTTTTGGAGTTTGGCCGTGTGGCCACAGTCTTGGGGCCATGTTGGGGAGCCCCACATAGCCCCCACTCCTGGGGTCTTCCCTTCGCTGCCAGCCTCCTAAGGGGCTGTGGAGTCCAAAGGCAGTGCAAGAGGCCGGTGGCCTCCAAGGGGCTGCAGAGCATCTGGGGTTCTCCATGTGTGTCCACTCATTGGCCCTCCTGGGACCTCCAGTGGACATCACCTCACATCTGTCCATCTGTCTGTCTGTGGTCAGAAGTGGAGTCTGTGTGAGTGAGAGCAGAAGTATTTATGAAAATAAAACATCCTTTTTCCTGGAATGGCTGCTCTCTGGCCCTCTGATGGTGGGGCAGTCGCCTGCCGACCTCCCTGCTGCCTTCTGGGGATCAGGCCTCTCCCCATCCCCACCCCACCCTGCACCAAAAGAGGCCCACTGCAGGGGCTGGGGCGGCTGCTGAGTCACCAGAGAGGGCCCTGAAGTGTCCCAGCTGGAAGTGAGCAGCCGCAGCTGCTGGAAGCACTGAGGGGTGCCTGGCTCAGAACTTCCCCCTGCTGCCTGTGCCTTCAGCACGGGACTGCGCTCCCTTGAGCCCCAGCTTCCTGGAGGCCACTCCCAGGAAGCAGCGTTCCAGCCTCAGCCTGCCAGGACTGGCCAGGAACCCTGAGCTGGGTGCCCCTACTCCTGGCTCAGGATTTTCTGAGTGGTGGCTGGGGCCATAGCAGGCCAGAGGGAGCTGGAGCACAGCCAGAAAGCTGGTCCAGAGGAGGAGCCAGGCCCACACTGCCCTGCCTATCTGTGGTAGGAGGCTGTCCACCCCTTCTCTAAGCAGATGTCGATGTGCTTTTTAAAGCCATGCAAAGTCACACACTTAACCACTTTCACTTGCTCTGATGACGTGTTTCCTGGTTTGCACTTGGTGCTGAACCTTTTCTATAGCGCTGACACTTGGGGGAGAGTGGTGCGGGGCTCCCACTCCCCTGCAGATGCAGGACCCTGCCACAGGTGCAGGTGAAACTCCTCCAGGATGGCTGAGGCACATGATGCAGGAGTGGGCCTCCCAGTCCCCGAAGAGCGCCACCTAGGAGTGTCGCATTGCCTGCTGAGTTGGGCATCTGGGTGTCCTGTGAGTTTGAAGTGCTTCCATTCTGGCCTTCATTTAGTTCCTTGTCTGAAAGGCACAGCACAGACTAAGGCTCTTCTGAGCTTCCTGTGCGGAAGGGCTCAGGCTTGTGGGCTCTGAGTCCTGAGTCCCCCTCTTCATCCTTAGCCATTGCTGTCTGCTGTGCTAGTGCTCCTGGACAGCCATACACACCCTGACCCTCCCAATCTGTCAATTCAGACAGGTCTGGAATTAGAGGTCAGGCTGAGGTGTATTCACTGACCCTTGCAATTTGACCACAGCCACCAAGCCAAGAGCATTGGGACTTCCCAGACTTCAAAGCCGCACATCCATCTCGGCTTGTTTGGCCAGAGCCAGCAGTTTGTGTTTTAGTAACTGGAGTGCACTGTGCTCATGTGTTCAAGGAAGTCAGAGTGGCGCAGTGGCCTCTGCTGGCCCGGGGAGGCCACATGTGCCCTCAATCTGTGAAGCTCAAAGCCAGCCCTGCCCAGCAAGCAGACAAGGGGGGCTGGGGCAAGCTGAAGCTGCGTCTGCTTCCTGCGAAGGCACAGAACTACACTGTGAAAACGCAAAAAGCTAAGGCTCTGGGTGTAAGTGAAGTATTAGGGCTCACACACGCAAGGCAGAGTGGGGGCCAGCAGTCTCAGGAAGCAGTGTCCAGTGTGGTGACGCCTTGCTCTTGCCTCCAACCACCCACCACCACCAGCAGCCCTCAGCCCTCCCCGCCTGTGCTTCCCTGGGCTGGTATCAGGACACACTGCACCAGGACTATGATTGAGTCCTCCCAGCCTTCTGGAAAGTTCCACTGGCTTGAGGAAAGCACACCTGCGCCCAGCTGCTCCACACGGCAGCCACTGCTGGGAAGGCAGTGCCAGTACGGCCACAACCTAGCAGTGTGTCAACCTCCTAAGATGGGGTGTTAACTGCTGCTACCACCTCAGCGCCTGCTACTGGCTGCCCTGCCCACATCCTGCTCAGGCTCCACCAGAGCCCTACCCAGAGCGTGACAAGAAGCTTTCACAGACAAATCCATGCCAAGGCTGTGGGCCCCTCCTCCTGGCTATGGGTTACGACAGGGACATTACTAGTGTTCCGGGCAGTGGGTTTGCAGGCTGTCAGATCTGCCTGTTGGCTTGGCCTTTACTACTTAGCCAGCCAGCTGAGGCAAGAGCCTGTGAGGTGAGGACAAAGATGATAACCTCACTGGAGGCTAAGCAAAAGCCCGACAATGTCTCGGGCTATCTCCGGGTAGCTGAGGCAGAAATGAGGGTAAAGTGTCTCTCCACTCCTGACTTCCTGTGGGCTGAATAATGAGTTAGCAAGAAATAGTGGCAGGTGCTTTTTAAAACTTCTTATACCTTTATTTATTGATAGGCTATTTTTTTAGACAGGATTTTACTACAGAGTTTAGGCTGCCTTTGCATTCACTTTGTAGTCCAGGCTGGCTTTGAACTCCCAGCAATCCTCCTGTCTCGGCCTCCTGAGGTCTGGGAGCACAGGCAAGCACCACCACACCTGGCTTTGCCTTCATTTATTTAACCCAGCAACCCAGGGGTCCACTGTCCTAGGGGAGAATGCTGGGACAGAGAGGTGGATGTCTTGCCCAAGATGACTCAGCTAGTGACAGCCAGACCCGGACAGGCAAGCTCCATCCGCGCCGTCCCACCCACTCTTTGCTGACCAAATGTCCATTGACGACATCCTCACTTGCCATTCAGGTCATCCGTGTCTACTACATTCCCATGACTGTCCCCAGCAGAGACCACAGAGATCCACTGAGCCAACACGCTGCTTGGTTGAGGAAGGAACAGGCTGACAGTGACCTCAAAGGTTCCCTCTGCACTCTTAGTTCTAAAGCACCCCAGTCCCGGTGCTCACTTATGGAAACTCCTGGCTTTGTCAGCCCTTATGTTGCAACATCCTACCGAGGAACAGCCTGTGAGCCAAACTTTCAAGCTCCCAGCCATCTGTGATTCAGCATACAAGTGTGACAAGGGAGGCCCCAAGGTACACGGGTCACCCAGCCAGAGGTATGGCAGCCCCACCCAATTCAGTCCCAGAAGTCTCTTGGGTCCAGTGGGAGGGGAGCCTAGACCAGGGTGGAGCAGGGAGGGCAACAGTGTGAGCCGCCTGTTAGTGAGACTCAGGCTATCTGCTGGCACAGCTGGGCCAGACTAGGGGGGACAGAGTATAAGCCAGATCCTTCCCTCGGGAACCTTCAGGCCAGCTGAGCAACTGGACGTGCTGAAGCCTAGTGTGACATAGGCAGGAGACTGGGTGGGCACAGGGCAGGAGCACCCTGGAGTTCAGTGACCCCCTAGGAGACAGGAGGGATGGTACCTGGGGTCCAGTTGCTGACTTGGGAATCCTGTTTCCTCGGGCCACATCTAGTAGTGTCTACCCATTGCAGAGACCCATGAGAGATCTACCCAAACTGAGCTCAAACATAGAGGGCAAGGTAGAAGGTCAGGACCAGAACCCAGATCATCCAAACACAGCGCCACATTTTGGGAAGCCAAATCTACACTCCCTATGGATTGTCCCCCCACTAGTGATCCCCGAGTCCTACCCCTTCTCTAGAATCCCTTCCCCCAAATCACGGGCCATAGCCTTCTGGTTGGGGTGATGGTGACCCAGGCCAGAGCCTTTACTCCTTGGGCAGCCTCCCAACTTCCGGCAGGCAGGCAGGCTTCTGTTCAGGTGGGCTCCCGAACAGTTGGGAGGCTCTGGCCAGGCTGAACAGCTGCTGGTTGCTTCCTTTCCACCAGCCACTGGGGCCTGCCTCCCTGTGCCTTCAGAGATTGGAGAGACAGCCAGCTTCTGGTGAGTGCCCCCTGGGTACCAGGCCCTGGACTGGGCACTGCAAAGACGGAGCTGTGGCAACATGTCCAGACAGATGTGCTGCCTTTGAAAATTGCCCAGTCTGTACGTCCGCACATATTAGGTGCTCGTGGAGTCTGGAACAGAAGACAACTGAAACTAAGAAGGAAGCAGAGAGCTGGCAGGGCCCTCCTGAGCCCCTCTGCCTCACTGCATTCCAGGGTCCTGTGCTTCAGGGATGCAGCAGGGGCAGGGACACAAGAGTTTATACCCTCACCCCAGCCTCTCTCTGGTCTTCCTTCCATTAAGCAGCAGTTGGGAAGCACCTACTGTGTGCCAGCATGGTTTTGGGTAGAGGCTGAACTAGTGAGTGAGTTTAGGGCTAAGAGCAGCAGCCACAGGACTGCTTCACGTGAGGCACCTGGCAGGAGGCAAGTGAGGAGGGACCTTTAGATGGAGGAGACCCCTCCTGAGGCAGAAGTTCTGGGAGAGTTCTGGTGGCTGGCAGGGGGCATGCACAGGAGCAGGAACCAGGAGACTGCAGAGACAGGCAGAGGTATGATGTCCACCTAGCAGGATAGGCAGGACCAGGACAGCTGTCCTTTCAGGCCACTAGAGACAGGGAGTGCAGAGTTCCAGGGATTTGACTGGAAGCCAAAGGTCTCTGCGCGGAGGGCGAGGCGGATGTGGCCTTGGCCTCCACCTGTCCCAGGTCGTTTCGGAGGGAGTCGAGCCCAGCATCCCTCCTGGTGGGCCAAAGGCGGCCCAGGGATTAGGACAGGCCCAGTTCCTGTTTGGAGGGGTACAGAAGTTGTAGGTCCTCGGCGGGGCGGGCGATGGGGCGGGCTCACCTGCTTCCCGCCACCCGGATGGGCCGGGCCGGGGCGGGGCGAGGGAGGGGCCGCGACACGGACACCTGCAAAGGCGGGTGGCCAGCTGGCAGGTTCGGGGGTCTGCGGGGCCCAGGAGCCCGGAAAGAAGGAGGCAACAAACTTGGAGCGAGGAGTGACCTGGGGACGGGGGCGGAGTCGCGGGCAGGGCGGAGAGAGGCCGAGCGAGCGCGGCGGCCCAGGAAGCCCGAGCGCCGCCCACCCATCCGGGGCGCCGCACGCAGGGCCACGGCTGGGCCGGGGGCTCCCGACCACTACCCCAGCGCGACCCCAGCCCAGCCCCAAGATGATGAAGCGACAGCTGTACCGCATGCGGCAGCTGGCCCAGACGGGCAGCTTGGGACGGTGAGTGTCGCCCCCTTCCTGGCAGCCCCGCTGTTGCCCCGCAGGATCACAGCCGGGGTAGATGGCTGGAGGGACCGCAGGGGATGGCGGAGAACAGCTGGGCAGCCTCCCTCCGTCCGGCCAGAGTCCTGCCCACTC